TAGTTGATTGTGCCTACTCCAAATAATTTGTACCATCAAGTTTTACTGTAGTAATGATCCCAGACCCAAAAATATCACTACTACCTCCAACACCTAGTCCCACAGTATCGGTAGATTTCATCTCGGTATTCCAACTCTCCATTTTACTTCAAACAATTCAACAGTAAGAAAAAAATAGACTGGAGACCTTCAAAAAATAATCTAATACCACTCACATAGAAACCAACCCTTCCGGAAGAAGAAAACCCTAGCTGGAGGAAAATCTCTCTCCTCCCCACGCCTCCCAACAGAGAGAAAAGTGAATTGATCACTCTGGGAGGCCTAGAAAATTTCAGAAACCAAACCGCCCTTCAGAAAATCAAAAGAAAACTAACAATACCTGGGCGCCCAAGATCAGATCAAAAACAAAGATTCCAATTTTTCTGGGACTCTTCCCCGTACTCCAGTTCTTCTTGATTTTGATGCTGAACAGTAGATCACCTTCCTGATGTCTAGATCCCACCAAAAACTCCAAGAACTGGGCAATCTATAGCAGATTAATCAGCCCTTTACCACTTCATGCAGTCGGTTGATCTAGGGCTGCATGAGAATGCTTCAAGAAACCCTAGCCAATGCTTTGATACCAAGTAGAAATCTGCTAAATTAAAAAAATATGAAAGAAAGTAGTTTATTGAAGAGAGAAGGAAGAGAGAAGGAGAAGAAGAGAAGAAGAGAAGTTGAAAGAAAACAGAGCAATAATTTGGCCGCCCCCTTCACTTATTATTTATACTAAAATAATAGAACAATACAAAGGCAACTATGCCCTCATAGGGCGGCAAAACATAAAACAGCATATATAACACTCAAAAAACATAATAAAATTTGGACTCACATAACTATTGTGGTCCCCACCTCCTATCTAACGACTAACATAAAACATCTACTCAGAAAAACATCATAAAACTAATTAATCTTCAACAATGGTGTTTTTCTTTCTTCTACCATTGGCTATTGCATGGAAAAATTTTGTATTCCTATCTCCTTCCTTCATCCATTTGTGTCTAGATTTCTACCTCCAACTTACTTCTTTGAAAATTGTGTCCTCCAAACTCTTCCTTAACTCCCACCTCAGTTCTTTATCCCGATCCCCAAAACATCCACTTTCTTCCTTCGCATCTAACTCTTCTATCTGGCTTATCAACTGCTGCTTCCTCTCTTCTATCCTCCCAAAATGTATAGTATT